GCCTGATCTCCATCTTGTCTTCAATCCTGCTTCTTACCTCTGGAGGAACTTTGGGGTTGGGGTGCAGCGGGGGGCACAGAACACAGTGGGGGGCTGGGGCGCGGGGGGGGCAGGGGACTGGCGCAGCGCAGGAGGCAGCGGGGGCAGGGGGAGCAGGAGGGGACGGAGAGGTACTAGGGGGGCAGCAGCATGGGGCAGGAGGTTGGGGCGCAGCGGAGGGCAGAGGCCCAGCAGGCGCAAGTGGCGGGGGGACCAGGGCACAGCAGAGGGCAGGGAACCGGGGCACCGCAGGGGACAAAGGGGTACTGGGGGTGCAGCACGGGACAGGGGGCCGGGGCGCAGCGGAGGGCAGGAGGGCAGGGGACTGGGGCGCAGTGGGGGGAGGGCGGGTACCAGGGCAGTGCGAGGGGGCAGGGGACCAGGGCGCAGCGGGGGGAGGGGCAGGAGACCGGGAGCAGGGGACTGGGTCAGCACAAGGGAGGGAGGGGGCGGAGGACCGGGGCAGCGCGGGGCCGGCCAGGCCGTACCTTCTCCAGCTTGGACAGGGCCAGCGCGTAGCGATCCTTGGCCTTGAACTGCATGAAGCGCATGTTGGCCGGGTGCGTCAGCTCCGTGATGATGTTCAGGCCTGGGAACAGCCTGCGGCGGGTACAGAGACAGGGTCAGACGGGCTCCTGGGCCCAGCCCCTCCTGCTCTAACCACTAGACCCCACTCCCCTCCCGGAGCCGGGGAGAGAACCCAGGAGTCTGGGCTCCCATCCCCCTGGCTCTAACCCACCAGCCCCCACCCCCCTCCCAGAACTGGGGAGAGAACCCAGGAGTCCGGGCTCCCAGCCCCCCCTGCTCTAACCCACTGGATCCCACAGCCAGGCAGGGAACCCAGGAGTCCTGGCTCCCCCCCTCCCCCATACCTGAACAGCGTCTGGACGTTGACGATGGTTTTGGCGTCGGCCATGTAGTCCTCGTCCGCGATCATGGAGCTCTCCTTGTCCACGACCACCATGTTGGCAGCAAAGGTCACGCCGCAGCGCAGCAGGTCGTCCAGGCTGGGGGCCGGGGGGTCAGCGGTCGTGCCAGGCAGCGCCGTCCTTCCCCATGCCCCTCCCGCCCCATGTGTGCCCAGCCCCCCCTCTCCCCTGGCAATACCGTGGGCCCTTCCTATGCCCGGCCCCCACTGGCTTCCACCCCGAGGGCCTCCAAAGCCACCCAAATGGTGACGCCGATGGGATGGGGGCAGGCGGGGGGCGGCCAGAGCTGGCCCGTGCCACCAGCCTCCCAGCTCAGCCCGGGACGGTGCCCGTGAGCCCAGGGCCAAAGTGGGGGTGGCCGGAGATCCAGAGGGGACAAGCGATTCGACCTCCCTCCCTCCCGCGCCCGCAGGCGGAACCACGAGGCTGCCCCGCCCCCAGCCCCTCCCGGGACCCCAGCTCCGGTCTCCACCCCCAGCCCCGGCTCACGCTGTTCGGTGCCGGACGAGCCAGGAGCCCCCCCTCCCCGGTCCGCCCCATGCGGCACCCACTCACTTATCGATGGAGCCCACCATGTAATAGACCAGCGGGAACCAGCAGATCGCCTCCAGGAAATGGGTCTCTGGCCTGCAAGGGAAGGGGGGTGGCAGTGGGGGGCAGCCCCGAGCAGCACGGACTCGCAGACCGGGGGAGGGGCGTATCCCTGCCCCCACCCAGTCTGCATTACTCTGCCCCTGCCCCACAACTCTGCCCCCCAGCCTCTGCCCCACAACCCGGCGCCCCCCAGCTTCTGCCCCCGCCCCACTGCCTCCTGCCCCCAACCCCACACCCCCTGGCCTCTGCCCCCCATGTCCCCACCCCACTGCTCCTGCCCACACCCCACTGCCTCTGTCCCCCAACCCCGCGCCCCCCAGCTTCTGCCCCTGCCCCCAGCCCATGCCTGTGCCCTGGTGGCCGCCCCCCATCCCCTTTGCCCGGGGCAGGCCCCGTACGTGTTCTCCAGCAGCAGCACAATGGGGTTGAGCTCCTTGCGGGGCCGGTAGTAGGCCCGCAGCGGCACGATGAAGTTGTACAGCCCGTTGGCGGCTCTCTCGGCCGAGACGATGATGAGCTTGTTCTGGAAGTGGTAGGCGCGGGCGTCCTCGTACGGGTAGTGGTGGCAGCTCTGCGGGGGCAAGCGGGGTTCGCCGGGGGCACAATCCCCCCCATTCCCTGCCAGTGCTGAGACTGGCACCTGTGACCGCCCAGGGATCTGAGTTGGCTGGGGGTACAGCTGGCTTCTGGGGTGGCAGCACTGCGGGGGTTAAACCCCACCGATCCTCCAGCTGGGAGGGGGCGTGACCCATCCCCCATTTCCCACCAGTAAAGCGGGGGTTAAACCCCACCGATCCCCCGCTGGGAGGGGGCGTGACCCATCCCCCATTTCCCACCAGCAAAGCGGAGGTTAAACCCCACCGATCCCCCGCTGGGAGGGGGCGTGACCCATCCCCCATTTCCCACCAGCAAAGCGGGGGTTAAACCCCACCGATCCCCCGCTGGGAGGGGGCGTGACCCATCCCCCATTTCCCTCTGCTCCCCAGCTGGAGACCCGGGACTGGGGTGGGGGGTGACCTCCTCCCCATTCCTTCCTGGACCTATACGTTGGGGGGGGGTGTATCATCCTTTGCTCACTTGTGCCCCAAACAGGCCATGGGTAGGTGCACCTACCCCCCCATCCTCCCCCACCCTCTGCCGTGCCTGCCCCCCAGCCCCTCGCCTACAGCCTCCCTGGGGACCGGCCATGTGTCCCTGGGGTGGCCCCAGGGGCAGGGACCCCTGGGATGGTGCTGGGGGCCCAGCTCAGGGCGTCTTGCCCAGCCCTGGCGGTACCTTGTCCAGCCGCAGGCAGCAGAAGGGGATCTTCTCCTGGACCAGGTGGCAGAGGGTGGGGGAGCTGCCGATGTAGGGGGAGTTGGCGGGGTAACCCTTCACCCAGCTGGAAGACCAAGAGAGAGGGGGGAAGGAGGAGCTGGGGGGCAGGGAGAGGGGGAGGCTGGCACCCTTTGGGGGGGCCTCATGCCTCATACAGAATCATAGAATATCAGGGTTGGAAGGGACCTCAGGAGGTATCTAGTCCAACCCCCTGTTCAAAGCAGGACCAACAGCAACTAAATCATCCCAGCCAGGGCTTTGTCAAGCCGGGCCTTAAAAACCTCTAAGGAAGGAGATTCCACCTCCTCCCTAGGGAA